GCAAAAAGGCGGAAGTCGCCGACGCTTAAAAGCCGATCGAGGTCGTGGGACGGCGCTTGGTGTGGTGACTACCGCCAAGCGTCCGCCGCTGGGACGGCTTTTGCCGCTGGATAGCCTGAACCGACTTGTCGAATCGTTCTCTATATGTTCCTATACTGGAATGGAACGTATCGACCCCACGCAGATCACCGACGCGCTGCTCACCTCAGCAGGTTGGGCGCGCGTTGGCCTAACTGCTCCATCCGAACATCTCCGTCAGCAAGCGGCCAAGGAGCTTGCCCTGACGATATGCGACCGCATCAATCGGGAGCCCGCTGCTGATCTGAACCAGTTGCGGCTTCCGTTGTGAAGTGTCCGCCAACACCCGCCTTCAAAGCCTCCACGATCTCGTCAAACACAAGGCCAATCTCCGCGTCACCAGCGCCTGCGGAAAGGTGCATGTCTATGATGCTTTCCGGTTCTGTCGGTACGCGCTTTGTCGGGGCTGGAATACGCAACTGGAGGGTCTCGCGCACCGCATCCGTTCCGGTCGCTGCGGCCGACGGGGGCCGCATATGAGAGCAGTAACGGACGCACCAACCCCCGCCGATCCGTTCCCGCGGACAGAGGATGCGTGGGAGCAGCTGACCCGCCGCTTGCGTGGATAACTGCTAGGATCCACGAGTGGAATACTGCAGACGACGAATACCTAGTAGAAAGCGGCACGTCCCGCTTACGCCCTGCGCTAAATCAAATACAACGGCACGAATAAAGTGCTGGTACGGGCGATTGTGAGCGCCTGCATTGCCGGCCTAGTTGGCGGAGGCGGCTTATGGGGCAAGGCTTTTCAGTGCGACGACGAAAGAGATGCGGAAAGCTGATGTAGAATCTCAGCCGCCGCGAAGAAGGCGGTAGCCGCCTTCCGTCCAACGTCACTGCCTTGATCGAGGACTTGATGAACTCGTCGACGACGAGGTCACCCTTGCGGCCAAGCCAGGCGATGATCGCGCCGCCCCAGCCTTCGAACCGTACAGCGGTCGTCTCCAGCGTGCCGGCATCGGGCGCTCGTACGGCTAGGGCCTTGCGGGCCGCGTCGATGGCGGCGGTCACCGCCACGCTGTCCTCCTCATCGTACGGTGGCCGCCCCACTTCGTCGGGCGGCTGATTGTGCCCGATCCGCCCCTCGGGCGGACGCAGCTCCGCAACGATCGCTTCGAGCGCCTTCAGGCGTTCGAGCGCGGTGGCTGTCAGGTGCTCACGGCTCGTGGATAGCTCTTCCTCCTCGTCGTCCGGGTGCTCGTAGAAGTCGCCAGACGATTGCGGCGCCCATTCGGTTGTGCCGTCGCGCTCGATCCGGTCAACGGCGGCAATGATCCAGCTTTCCTCATACTCGCTGCCGAAATTGCCGTGCAGCACATCGGACGTTCCGAAGGGCGCCCAGGGATAGATGTACGACTGGTCTCACTAGTCACGCGGGGTCTCGACCTGCGGATCCTCGAACTGACTCGTAAAAACCAGGTTTCCATAGCCTCAATTGCAGTCTCTTTAGCCGCGGTGCGCTCTTCCTTCTCGCGTCGCGACTCCTCCATCTCCCAGTGATGTTGCCCTTCTGCTTCCTCGGCAGCACTGCGTTCCTCGTCGGTCCATGAGCGTGGCATCGTCGTCGGGTCCCAGTTTGCTCGCGCGGTCACGCTACCGCCGTCATGCCCGCGCCACCATAGCGAGTTGCCCGACGACACTCTCCTCTAGGCAACATCACCATCGTTGACGGTTGGATGCGAGTCGCGCACATCTCTGCTCGACCATGGCAACCTCCCCGAATACCCTCCCGGGCGCGACCGCGCTGCGCAAGAAGATCCGAGAAATCACCGGCAATACAGCCGACGAGCCGGACCTGTACGCCTATATGAAGGAACTGCTGACTCGT